GTTGCAAGCAGCAGCAGCAGCAGCTGCAGCAGTAACTGTATAGCCGAAGCAGGAGCAATATCGTAGCATTAGAAATAGTGGACCCCATGATGTAACGTAGCGTGCAAATCTCCCTCGTCCATTTCTCATAGAAGCCCAGATCACAAGCATCATGCTGTTGAGACTGCCAAATTGTCGGTCTCGCCGTCGTCGTCGTATAGTAGAAGCACCAGCAGCAGCAGGAGTAGTAGTAGTAGTAGTAGTAGTAGCAGCATCAGCAGCAGCAGCAGTAGCAGGAGTAGTAGTAGTAGTAGTAGTAGTAGTAGTAGTAGTAGTAGTAATAGTAGTAGTAGTAGTAGTAGTAGTAGTAGTAGTAGTAGTAGTAGTAGAAGCACCAGCAGCAGCAGGAGTAGTAGTAGTAGTAGTAGTAGTAGTAGCAGCAGCATCAGCAGCAGCAGCAGTAGCAGGAGTAGTAGTAGTAGTAGTAGTAGTAGTAGTAGTATAGTAGTAGTAGTAGTAGTAGTAGTAGTAGTAGTAGTAGTAGTAGTAGTAGTAGTAGTAGTAAATCATCCGGGTTTACCTTTCGGGGCTTTCGGGTTCGGGGTTTGGGATCCGGGGTTTATGATTTACCTTCTGCGGGGTTTCGGTTTGCGGATCTGGAGTCTAGGGTTCACCTTTTTGGGTTTTCGGGCTTGGGGTACGGGGTCTGTTTTGTTTGTGGGATATTTCACTGGCCGCCGGTGTCAATCGCTGATAACACCCCAAAAAAAGCACAAACAAACCTGGACCCTGAACCCCGAACCTTTTCAACCTTCATCCCAAACCCTAGCCCTGCAGAAGACTAGAAGCACTATCGAGGGAGAGCTGGGTATCCCGGGCCAACAGGGAAGTAGTTATGAACGTGTGATGTATGGATCTGTGTAACAGTGTAAGACTGCAAGCCGAGGCACATCACCACTGACGACTGCTGGCGATGAATCCAGAAGTCCACCATCGGCTCCATGCAGGTGCCTAGGCTGGGCATGCTTAGTCTTGTCTCAAGAACGAATCTCCATCCTGGCACGATCGCTTCGACTTCTGCTATAGGATGGTGAAGCCCAGCGACTATATATGTAGAGCCGAAGCCACGGAGCTCCCGATAACCAACACCAGAGCTTAGGATCTTGTCTGGTTTAGGATTTAGGATTCTCGGGTTTGGGGTTTAGGTTTCGTGCGGGGCTGTGGGTTGGATGCGACCACACTGCAAGTATCAACAGCTGTCGCCGGGTCGTGCAAGCATGCAGCTCATGTGCTGGAACAAGCAACAGCCATGCTCGTGATGTAAGCATGCACTTGAAAGCCATTTGTGCAGCAACCTTTGCCCCAGGCTTTCGACTTCAGAAGCAGGCGGCATGCTGCGATTGCAACAGGCCGAATTTGGGGCGGGAGTCATGAGTGCAATCCTGTTGTGCATCTAGAGCTACAGAGTGCAGCTTGATGTCATCCATGATCCAATCCCCAGACTCGAAAATAAAACCTCGTGAGAAAGCCTTTGGCTGCCTCAGCTAGATGTACCGTCGTTTCTTCTGTTCCTGTTCGCTGAACAACGACAGCACTTGCTGTCGCTCCTCGGAGGCCTTCCACAAAGCTTCTTTCTCGTGTTGTTTCAACTTCTTCGGACACCTCAGCCAGATCGATGCAATGAACCAAACTCTGATGCAGTGAACGGGCACGAGCACATTATATATTTGCCAAGAATCGAAGCCAAGAAGTTTTTTCGCTCCGTGCCGTAGGCCGTGTCCGACCGTGTGGGCTTTGGCTTGGCCTGGGTTGCGGGGTCTTCTGGAGGTGCTGTGGATGCTGCTGGTGAAGCTGCCGGTGGATCTCGAGATTTGTGCTTTGCTGCAGGTCGCAGCTTGGCCGGTTTGTTTGCTGCCACAAGCAGCCGCTGCTTGTGCGGGTTTGCAGGTCGATGCTGGCCACCAGTGCAAGCCTTCAGAGCCTCTAGCGGCATGCTATAAAGTGCATTCGGATCGATAGCTTCGAGCTGGAACTCCTTAGTTACAAGATAGGATCGGTCATCCTTGCAACAACCCTGTATATCCCCCGAAGCCAGCAGAAGATCAATAAGGGCAGCAGGAGTATTGTTGAACCAAGCTGCATCAGGACCAACCGTGGACCTCTCTCGAGCTTGGCCCTGCGACAGGGAAAAATGCGAATCGTCGTGGCGTGCAAGAACTTTACCGCCTCATGTTATAAGAAAACAATTATAGCCCGGCCTTTGTTGAAGGCTTTGCATTGGGATCGCCCAGCTCCCTCGGATTGTGGACAAAGGGGAAATTAGATGGGTTTGGGGTTTGGGGTTCGGGTCCGGAGTTCAGGGTTTAGGGCTTAGGGGATAAGCTGGGTGTGTAACAGAGTTTAGCGTTTTGGGGGTTATAGGGTTTAGGGGTTTAGGGTTTTTGTGTCGCCCCACCATCAAATCCAAGAGTCGCTTCTTCCACGGCCCCCATCAACCCCTCCTGAGATAGATAGGATGGCA